GGCCCCTGCGAGGCGCTGGGCGGGTGTCTGTAGCTGCACCTTTAATGTGGTGGAGGGAAACGATACGTCTTGCTGCGAGTGGCAGAGCGTGCTGGCCGTTCCTGGGCGCTATTTACCGTGTCTCTGTCAGTGTGTTATATCGTATACGTGTGAGCGTGCGTGCCGCGGGGAGTGGAGAAGCTGTGTGTCACCGCCGGGAGCTGGAGGAGATGGATGTGTAAATCTGTGGTCTGTTCACGCACCACCCCCAGTCTGAGCTTCTCCAGACAATCCAGCTGGCTCATGGAGAAGGACGTTGGACAGAAAGCGTTTGTAAACTCCGTCGCTTTTATCAGAACTCAAGGAGAGCTTGCTTAAGATAGGACATGTTTTTCATTTGCTGCTGGCGAGTGCAATTAGAGTGAGACGAAACTGGGCAAAAGGTTAGCCCAAGACTAAACACTTCAGCAGCAACTTTGCTGCTTCCATTGCAAGCTGAAGCTTGCTGAGCAAGAAACTTGAAGTTAGTTTTTCTTGGGGGGGGGGGGAATTATCTAGCTCATTTTAAATTGCTTCAAGCAGCTTTCATGTGAGGTGCCCTACGGTGACTATTGGGGAGAGGACTGTAGTATTGCTTTATAAGTTACAGTACCCCTGTTTTCTGTGATAATAACTTTCTTGCTCGTTTTTAACTGCTGAGTCTATGATGGAAAAACCAAACAGCATACAGATATAAGTATTATTTTTTGCTGTGGAATCCTCTACATTTTGCTGAGAGGATGTTGTTCCCTACTTCATACAGAAGGAGTGTGGCAAGCATGTTTCATACTGAAAGCAGTGCAGAAAGAAGCAGCTCTGTAGCAGTTCAAACTTGGCTGTAGTTACTAATTTTTTTTGTTTATTCCCATGACTTTAATGGACTGCAGAAGTGGGGAGTCACTGGATGAGGCACTAAACAGGGGAAATGACCCAAACATTTAACTTCTAGGATGATAATGTGTGATTAGCTTTTTAATGAGATGACAGAAGTTGGACAGCTGCTTGACAGAAGTCAGATACTAGTCTAGTACTTGCAGCCTTATTACAAAGGGCATAGATAAAATGACTTAAACTGACAGGCATACAAAGGAACAAAAGTTTGCTAAATTAAAAACAAATAATTGGCTCATAATAGCTCTTTCTGCCAACAGTTAAGAGTAGTAGATTCAGACCCTTGACATGCTACACAAAGGTAATTAGATAGTTTGGATAGTGGGGAAAACAGGGAGCCTGAAGTCCTTGCATGTGTTGTTGTAGAATTGCTTGGATTCTCAATTAGGTCACACCACCGAAGAGTGGGTTCAAAGCTCTCCAACTTTCTTCCTGAGTTGAGAACAAGTGTTGGAAATAGAGCTTTCAGACTGAAAAGTTCATAAATCTCCCTGGTCGTGCACGTGAGAGGCTGTTGTGTGCAGAAAAATCACGTAGGTGTTAAAGCATCAGGTTTGGTGGGCTCAGTCAATGCAATAGACTGAAAGTTGTGCCACGTGTGTTTCAGATGTGCTGCAGTTCCATGTTTTCCTTCCCATGAAAGACCTCTATTTCCCAACAAGAATTTTCTTCCCACAACCGTTGTGCAATGTACTGAGTGTCTGGCTACCAGGTTCCCTATCTTAGCCCTACTGAAACGTGCTGTCGTATTCCTGTAGTCGGCCAAGAACTCTGGGGAACTGAAAATACAAAGTTATTCTGTGTACTTACCTTGCTTGTCTGACTTTGTCTAGGTCTGCTGACTTCGGTGACAACCTGCTGACCAGGCCTGCACAACCCGCGGTTGTACGAATACCTCCACCTGTTTTGCCCAGACCATCCCAGCAAACGAGGAGCAGTAATCTGAGCACTTTCAGGCCAGCATATACTAGTTCTTTTTCTCCAGCCTATGGTTCATATGGAACCTCTTTTTATGGAGGCTATAGCCCTTACAGCTACGGCTACGGCAGTCTGGGTTACAACCGCTTTCGTACAGATGACATTCCTCCCAGCAGGTTTGTGCAGCAGGCTGAGGAGAGCAGCAGGGGTGCCTTCCAGTCCATCGAAAGCATCGTGCATGCCTTTGCCTCCGTCAGCATGATGATGGATGCCACCTTCTCAGCCGTGTACAACAGTTTCAGAGCTGTGTTGGATGTAGCCAATCACTTCTCCCGCCTCAAAGTGCACTTCACAAAGGTGTTCTCAGCTTTTGCTTTGGTGAGAACTATAAGGTATCTCTACCAACGTCTGCAACGATTACTAGGGCTGAGGAAGAGCTCGGAGAATGAGGATTTGTGGGCTGAAAGTGAGGGGACAGTGGCTCGCATCGGCCTCGACGACAGGGCGGCTACCTCTGCGAAATCCTGGCCCATTTTCCTCTTCTTTGCTGTTATCTTGGGAGGTCCCTACCTGATTTGGAAACTGCTTTCTACGTACAGTAATGAAGAAACAGGTAAAGATGGTCTGCAGCACGAGAGGAGTGCAGCTCATACAGTGCTCCTTTTGTTACCACATGCATAGCGATTGATCTTGTGCTACAGTAATAGAAGTAACACTTACTGGGGAGCAATACTGAATTTTAGGCATGTGGTACAAGAAGTAGCCTGTTGCTGATTTAGGGTGCAGTTTCATGGTCAGTTTTGTGTGATTCCAAAATCATACTTTGTTTCTATTTTTGTTTCTGTTAGATATGGCAGTTGGGGTGGTGGTGGGGAAGTGTTGGATGAATTGACTCAACGAATCATGCTTTGTTTTATTACTCTTGTCAGTTCTCTATTGGAAACGTTTTAGCTAGGACATTCATGTTTTCTTTATTTGCCTTTAAAGAACACCCACCCAACTTCATCATTCAAAGCAGATAAACTGTTAATTTCTTTCTGGAAACAGTATCTAGTAACTGGGCGAGTGGAGAAGATGACCACGTGGTTGGAAGAGCAGAATATGATTTCAGTGCTCTCTCAGAAGAAGAAATTTCTTTCCGTGCTGGTGACATGCTAAAATTGGCACCCAAAGGTAAACTTTTAATTTTGTAACTACTTTTTAATGGCATGTGAAGTCAGGTTGTTAGTCTGAAAATTAAAACAAAAAAACAATCCCACCTTATTTGACCAGATTCTTCATCCACACTGGTTTTTTTTTTCTTCATAAGTCACTACTTGCATTACAATAAAACTTGCAGAATAGTTTTGTTGAATTTCCCTGATATGACAGAGTGCAAACTTACTCACAGAGTACTTTGTGGTTACCCTTGTGGTTACCTGTCCCACACGTGTGCTGCACAACTGTGAACATCCCTGGGCATTTGCAGTCCAGTGGTGTCGTCGACTTTGGAACGACCTGCTCCTCAGTACTCTTTGGCTCACCTCACCAGTGGAGCTCCTAGTCATTGCTCTGTGAAGTAACTTGTATTCACCTTTTACCATAGAGTTACTTTCTCTGTGCAGTGAGCTGTTGTGTCATCTGCCTTCTGGTGTGTTTGTGCTTCAACTGCAATATGTTTTGAATTGTTCTGTAACTCAATGCGTTTGTATTTTCTTCTTCAGAGCAACAACCCAAAATCCGTGGTTGGCTTTTGGCTAGTTATGATGGCCAAACAACAGGACTTGTGCCAGCTAATTACATCAAAATCCTGGGCAAAAAAAAAGGTAGAAGAACAGTGGATCTGCAAAGGATTAGAGAGCACCGGCCAGCCCGTACCAGCAAATCTGTTGGAGGATCTGCTGCTACTGTGACTTTAGAGGAGCAGGAAGCTGCTTTTGAGTCTGCTTTTGCTGAAAGTAATAAAGTTCCTGTGGTGCCCAACTCTACTGTGGTTAGTGGAGAGAAACAGGAACTCTAATAATGCAATTTCATCAACAAAGCAACTGGACTGTGCTTTATTGATAAAATATAGGGTTTGTTGAAAATCTCTGTTGTAGTGGAACACTGATGGGTCTATACCAGTTCTTGCTGCTACTGACTGGTGAAGGGGTGGAGAAGTGATTGCTCAGATTTGTAGTATTTATTTTTGACTCACCTAAGGCTGTACATCAGTGATTCTACCCAACCTCCTGGCAGCAACTCTGAGATCTTAAGACAATGAGTCTTCAGGAATTTGTAACAAAACCAACCAACAAACAAATAGGGACTGCCAGCCTAGTCTGGTTGAGACAAACAGCTGGTGAGAGCTGGAGATTAACATCCAGTCTCAGAATGTTGGCTTGACAAGAAGCCTCTTCAGCAGATGTGCAGACTTCTTTAAGATGTCCTCCAAAACTGGATGCTGAGGACCACAAAACAGTAATTGCAAGTGATTTCACTGGCATAATTGAATGGATAGAAGTTCTAAGTTCCTTGCTTTTTGTTAGAAGTAAGCCTTGCACTTAAAAAAAAAAGGGACATGTGAAAAGTATGGTTGACAAAGGAAGAG